TGGAAATTCGGAACCCAAAATTTAGGTGAAATACATACCGGTATTTATAATTAAAAATTTTATAACTAAATTTAGTAATTAGATCCCTTTCGTCAATTAAATTAATATTAGCCTTAGCTTTACCCAGTAACCAAAATTACGGTAGATCGATTCATAGTCCCTGTGGATTCGATATCTTTTAAGACTACGCGATAGGACTGTGCACTTGCAGTCTCCAGATTTATAGACATACAAAGTCGCGATCAAATAGGCCGTGTCGAGAGAGGCTTGAGCACTCGAGGACTCATTGTTTATTGAAAGAGTTATCTCGAGCACTCTCATCACATCGACCATATCCTCGACCAAGTTCTTTCGACGAACCTCCTTATCTTCAGACAAGATTTCCTCCCTCTCCTCCTCGCGCACACCGAGGGAGCTCTCCCCACTGAAGAGATCAAGATTTAGGTAGCAAGAAGGCAATACAAAGACCCCTGCGGTAACTTTGTCACCCTCGGGCGTTATGCCCGCAGCACTATCCACACGCTTCCTCTTAGCCCCGGGCTCGTTGACTGGAATCTGGACGGGCTCAGCAGAGGAAACCTGATTTTTTGATGAGGAGGGGGAACCACTGGTCCGACCCAAAGATTTGGCATGTTCCTAAAGCTGGGTAACTCTGTTTTTTGGCCCATAGGTGGACGCGTTCTTGGGCCTCAACTTCAACAGGCGCTCAGAAAGGGATGCCATTCGACCTGCAATAAAAAAGAATCGTTAGTTGGGTTAGAGAAGCAAAAATAGCACGAACACGTTCCAGCATAAAGAGGAGAAAATTAATTAGGCTACATATCCTACCTAAAAGCCGCATGGCTTCCCCGTTTGAGGAGCATTCGAGTAAGGCCTTCGTGTTGATCAACCTATTGACTAGAAGATACTCCCCCTCGCCATCGAACAAGAGGTTGTTGTTCACGTCCACGCATCTCGCGGGGGAGAAACTCTTGACATAAGCCGACAACTTCTCGTACCAAAGATGGTCTTGAGCGTCTAGGTCCTCGGGTTTCACAACATAATATTTGGGCCTTTGTTCGAAGTGCTTCCACTACCACTCGAGCGGAAATCTGGCCAGAAGCCGGGTAACTGGCCGCCCATCCTCCACCTCTTCCACACGAGTATACAGGGAATCTATGGCCGCGTCCTTCAGGGGCTTCACGATGAAATACCTCTCTTTGAAATTCCAGTCAGACTCCAGGTAAGGCCTGAAGAGATTCCCGAATTGCTTGAAGGAAACCCACGCCTGCCCCCCTCCAACAGATTATATTTGGAGGTGAAAGATACGGAAAAAGAGGGGCGGCGTGGCACCTATCCTCAGATACTGGAAGACGAGCTCGAACGCTCGCATAAACGCCAGCGCGTTCGGGTGGAGTTGAAAAGGCGCCAATTGAAGCCACTGGAAAACCCTGACTTGAAAATTATTGAAGGAAGGCGGGGGGCCCTTATGCGCGTACCTCCGGGCAATTGAACGCATTTGTTGCGTCTTGGGAAAAGCAAGACCGTTTATTCCGGGGCTCAGGCGCAACCCAAGCCAAAGGGTCCTCGTCATTATGGGGCTCGTCTTCATAATTGGCGGCCGGAATGTCGTCCCCAACTGAGTGCACCATTATACATGAAAAGCAGGGGAAACTAGTGAATTCGATATTATCAAATCCACCCTTCCACCGCAGATCAAGTGAAAGGGCGACAAACTCGACCCAAGCCCTCGACTACACGCTAAAATGGACTATTTCGTGGGGAGGCAATGTTGATGGGGGGATGATCACTCACCGAGCGAGAAGCCTGAGATAATCCCTATATCTGGGGAAAGCATCCCCTGTGCTACAGACACTATTCGGGGAGACCCCCCGACACTATAGCTAATGAACATTCATAAAGTGCCCGACACATTCATGAGTGCTCGACACAAAATTCATGAACTTCAATGAACATTCATGAGTATTCATCATAAAACTCATAAACGTTCATCTAATCAAGGCATAATTTAGACATTTAATCCATAAACGCTTAAGAAACATGGTGTTAAGAGGTTGTAACTTACTTGGATGAAGAACTCAAAGAGAAAATCTGGGAAGTTGAGAGGATTGCTTCACACAACGAGCAAGGAAATCTGGGAAGTTGAGAGGATTGCTTCACACCACGAGCAAGAAAAGTTGAAAGGGAACTTGAGAATATGACAAATGAGATCCAGGGACCCCCTTTTATAGGTGACCCACACCCCAAGAGGTCCCTCATGAAAGGTCATCATTTCATTGGGCCTTTTGGCTTTCCCCTTGAAAGGGTGGCACCCCAAAGCATTAGCCACGTGGCTCAACTGTCAACCACGCGTCCCCTCTGTATTGATGAGCATATGCCCGACTCCTACGCATTATCCCCATACACGCACGAGACAGAGACCCAACGCAAGGGAATTCTCAGCACTAGGGAGCGTATACGGGCACATCCATTCAAACCACCTCAAGGGACGAAGTAATGCTCGACATATCGATAACTCCCTCAAGACGGACGCGTCAAAAGGAATCTCGCGAGTGCTCTCCATTACTAATACAGTCCTCTTGAGATAGCGACTGACCCTTTCGATCTCGCTGCCCGCTCATCCATAATATCCCACGACACACTCGAGCTTGTCCCCCATGCGGGCAACAACTCGTTCCTTTCAGGGGACTTTGGCCGTCTCCCTCGATCAAGTCTCCGGCATCGAGAGCTGAACTCAAGTCACCGCCCTTTTGCTCAAGGGCAATAACTTGGGGGGCTCCAGATCTAGATTGGGCCTACACTTATCCGTCGAACGGGAAGCCCAAAAACAGCCCACGTTAGGGACCTTTGGGCAACTCTCCACACGACCGTTGGAGGACGTGTGCTACGTCCCACGACAGTCATCTCAAATTGCCCTCCGGGAATCACGGGTCCAACCTTATTCTCGCGGAGCAGTTGACCGAGGGGGGGGGGGGGGGATCCACTTGTTGGACTCCAAACACACGTAAGCCCTGGCAGTTCCTGTTATTGGGCCTCAACGTGGCCCAATAATGGGAACCTTGGCCCAACGCCGGGCTAATAAATACCCTCTCTCCTAAGAGGGTCAGGTATTCAATTCAACACTTATAACTCTTGACACTTGCTTGCTCATTCCGCAACTTACTTTGCTATCGAAGTGTCTTGCAGGTACCCTCCCTCTCCTCCCATCTCATTCAACTTCTGCCCGAGTTAGCTGTGACGGTCCATTTCTAATTCGGTAAGATCATAAATAAAAATGAATAATATAACGTGGTAAATGACTCGTTGATTTCATCTTGAAGTGTCAAGTCATTAAAATAAAAGACAAATGATAAGAGATCAATACAAATTCACCAAAAATAATACTGGAAGACTTAATAGTTGATTTTTTTAAAAGGATTAAAATATTAGAAAACTAGATATAAGGAAATTAAAATATATTTAAACCTAATAAATTTTATAATAGAAGAGAAAGAAAGTTGAATGAGAATAAGAATGAGAATATATATATATATATATATATATATATATATATATATATATATATATATATATATATATATATATATATATATATATATATATATATATGAGAATGAGAAAATTTAAAAAAAATAATTGAATTTAAATTAAAAATTGTTATTAAAATATATTTTCAAAATTTAATTATTAATTTCTCTTTCTATTTAAAAGAGAGAAAATTACATATTATTGTCTTTTAATCAATTTGTCGATTGACTAAAATTTATTATTATTTGATTTGTTGAAAAATAAAAGTTTAGATTGTTTTTTGTGGTGGTTGATGAACATAAATTTTATTTTATTGACATGAAATTAGATAGTTATGTATAACAACTAATAGTAACTCATAAATATTATGTGATATAACTAATTGAAAATAACAAATTTATATCAAACATCGATTTATGAAGTTGTGTAAAAAATTGACCAAATTATAAAATATTAAGTGATATAACTACATAAAAATAATAATTTTATATCAAACATTAAACATGTATTAGTTATGAAGTTATTTAGAAAAATGAACAAATTATGAAATAATTTATATTAATAATATAAATAGAATCTATATATACAATGAGTTTGCTTACAATTTATGTTATATTGTTTCCTCACACTTTTGTAGACTCTTTTTAGTTAACACCTTTAAAAAAAGTTCAATTTTTCTTTTAGTATGCTAGAGATGGAAAATATAGGTAAGGGTTATGGAATATGAAAAATGAAAATTATTTTTCCACTACTTTTTTTCTTAAACTTCTTCTATCCAATATTTTAAATATTTATAAAATCAAAAGATAATTATTGTCGTCTTTAATAGATCCTTAGATGTATATCTTTTCTTAATGATTCTATAGATTAATTTAATTTGCAAAAAATATATTTGAAATTTTAATTAATTAATAAAATTTAATAAATTAATAAAATTTAATAAATTTTATAGATTAAATTTAAAAAATACATATTTTCTAATGATGTTTATTACATTTATTTTTTAATGATGTTTTTCTAAAGTCATCTATTCTGTAATGTTTTTCTAAAGTCATCTATTCTGAATTTATATTTTTTAAATATATACAAATAAGAAAGGGAACTACAAGTTAAATAATATATTTTTCTATCAATAATCTTTTAATCTGTACATTATTCTTTTGAATTTGATATTGCATTATTCAATTTAAAAGCATCATTCATCTTAGAAGAGTCTAAATAGATTCTCTACTACCAATATCAAATGAAATAAAATCATAAAATTGCCTTAAAAAAAAAGAAAAGCCTAAAAATGAAAATATCAACCCATCCAATCACTAATCCAACATAAAGAAAATACAATTTCAATAAAATCAAAATTACAATATTACATCCGACCCATAATAATTCTATAAGTTAATTAAGAACGAAAACATGTCTCGCATATGAGATGAGGCTTCATAGCTCAAATTACTTCATTCTTTCAATAACAACTAACCAAGTTGATCTCCAACTTCAGATCTTGATGCCGCGTCATGGAGGACTTGCAATGCCTCGTCATGGAGGACTTGCAATGCCTCGTAAACTTTTTGTTTTAAATCATCTGGAGATTCAATAAGATGAATTACTTCTGACCGATCCATTTCAAGCAACATTCCTGTAACCTTTGCAGTATATTGATTTGGTGTAACATGTTTTACAAGTGGATAGAGATGTTCACCCAATATCTGTTAATTCAAAACAGTGCATAACAAAAGTTACATTCTTCACCCATCCTGATTAAAATTATATCCATATAGTATTTTTATGGCTTTCAACAGAAATAGGAAATAACTAAAAATATAAAGTTGCTACATGTAAAAATACCAACACATACCATAGGCTGATTTTCTGGAGTAGCAGAAGCTAAATCTGATGCAAGTGACGTAGACCTGGAACGCTGATTATATCTAAACCCTTGGTTTGAATTACCTTGTAACATCTGCTTTCAATTTCAATAGAAAATAAAATAAATCATTTCAAAATATCAACCTTTAAATTTAAGATCAAACTTTAAATTTATTGAATAATTACTTGATTTTGCGGGAGGTGTTGGAGGTTTCCATTTCGTCCGGTACCTATTCTTTGTCTTTGAAATGGCATAGCAAAGTTTGGAGCAACAACAGGTCGCATTCCAGGCAAGATTTGCGGTTGAAAACCAAATCCAGCAGGCTGAGATGGTATGAAACCAGGTGTGCCTTGACCGTAATATAACTGTTGAGGAGCAAGTCTCGGAGACCCGTATCCAAAAATTCCTGTAGCCATAGTTGCCATTCCAGCGGTGGCACGAATTTGAGCAAATTGAGCCTGCAGAAAAATTAATTTGTCTAAAAGCACTTTGATTTTACGAAGATACTACTACACACAATCAACTAACCATTAAAAATAAGACAAGGAAAGAAACTTTTTAAGGAAGAAAGGGTAACTATAACGATCAAACAATCGGTAACATAACCATTAAAAATAATATGTCAAATTTTAATATGCCACTAGAATTCAAAAAGAAAGATAAAATATTAGAACTCAAATAACCAGTATCATTTTTTTTATTTCGCTCACTTTAAAATTAAAATTAATTTACGTTTGGGTTCTTATAACATGTAAAACATTTCATTTTAGTCTCTCTAAAATCAGTCACATAAATGTTAATATATATATATATATATATATATATATATATATATATATATATATATATATATATATATATATATATATATATATATATATATATATATATATATATATATATATATATATATATATATATATATATATATATATATATATATTATTATTATTATTATTATTATTATTATTATTATTATTATTATTATATGGACTAAAAGCAAAGGAACAAGGACCAAAAACAAAATGCCATGTATTTGCAAGAACTAAAACCAAACAAACAAAATTACTTAGACTGAAACCAAAAAAAGAAAAAATTGCCAAGACAAAATACTTTAGGCCAAAAATATAACATGCTATAATGATATTCCCCAAAAAAAAACACATGTATATACATTACAAACATAAGTTAATATTTTAACCAAGGCCATCAAAGCAAGTCCACTTAATTATAAGCCACAGCTAGTCGGTTACTTAATAATAAAGAAGTAAGTATTAAAATCACATATGAACAATGATATTAAAGAAGAGCATCACCTGCAACTGGGCCTTTCTCTCTTCTTTGCGTTGGGCCACAGCAACAAACAGAGGCTTTCTTCCAACCAACTTCCCATTCATTTCCTTCAACTAAACAAAAACATGATTGAAAGCTCAAGTATTCATTATGATAAGGAAACATATAGCTTAGTCACGCCTCTTTGAATACTTACAGCTCTGCTTGCTTCCTCCGGCGTAGAGAAGGCCACAAAACCGGAACCCTTGCTCTGACCATGTGAATCCAACATCACCTAATAATAACAATAAAAACAACATGAAAAAAGGTCAAGTCAATGTATATATAAGTCACACTAAAAAAAGGACCCAGTTGGTTGCACTTGTTCACAAACAAATAAATAGATCCGGAGAGACGTACGTAAGAATGTTTTTAACATACCCTGCAAGAAGTTATAGTACCAAATTCAGAAAACAGATCCTTCAACTTTTCATCACTAAAACCATCATCAAGATTTTTCAAGTACAAATTAGCCCCTTGTAATTTCTCATATCGGCTAATTCTTTCTTGTTCAAATTTGACTTTCAATTCATGCTCTCGTTCTGCTTTTCTCTGAGCTCGCCCAACAAATAAAACCTTGTCATCATTGATGGTGGTTCCATTTAACTTCTCGACTGCAGTAGCAGCTGAATCTGGACTCTGGAAATTCACAAAACCAAAACCTCTAGATTTCCCATTTGTATCTTTCATGATTGTTGCACTAGTTATCGTTCCAAAGGGGCCAAATAGATGTTTCAGTTCTTCATCATTTACTGTTTCAGACAAATTTTTCACATACACATTAGTGAACTTGGGTGATCCATTTGTCCTAGCCCTTTCCTGACGGCGAACAAAAGATCCAACATAGACTTGTTTATCATTAATCCGCATTCCATTCAATTGTTTGATGGCACTCTTCGCATCTTTTTCGTTGTCAAACTGCACAAAACCGTGTCCTTTTGACTGGCCACTACTGTCGAGAACCACCTTACAAGAAAGAACTGAGCCAAAGGTAGCAAAAGTGTCATATAATGCCTTGTTATCAATCAAGGCGTCCAAATTCTTAATGAACACATTTCCATGTCCACTTTTCCGAACACTTGGATCTCGTTGAGAAAACATAATCCGAATGGGCTTCCCATTCAAAGGAGTGAAGTTGAGTAGTTCCTTGGCATTGGCCGCTGAAAAATCAATTCAGAAACACAACCATATCAATCATAGAAATAACAATCCAAATCAAAATCCATAAAACAGTCCAATAGTAATTTGAAATATTGATAGCAATGTAAATTAAGAATAAACAGTATAGCAGATTTAAGAAGAGAAAAGATGCACACAAATTTTAGGTGTTAGCCATGTCTACTGTCGGTGTTAGCCATGTCCCCGGCCAGTCATAGAATTTATAGTTCTTTCATGAGAACTGATATAGAGTTTATGTAATACACAATAATACAATGAGCAACCTATTCCCCCGATATTAATATGATATCAGATTTTCTGCTGTCATGCCATCACATATTAGCCGCATTCACACATTTGGAACATTCAATGGTTATATCAATATTGGACAGTCTAGATTTCAATGCAATTTTTTGTTTTATTTTAAAATACTAATTTTAAAACTTATACGAAATTTGATCCAACTGCGTTAATGCGGAAATTTGTGGCTTAATATATTGCTTAAATGAATTAATTAAAACATGTTGATTATAATTTGAGCTGGTCCCTTAACATATATCTCAACATTAATTAATAAATGCGACTATCAACAAATAAGACATCATCCTTACAATTATTCATTTTAGATTCATAATTCAAGGGAAGTTATGATATTAATCTCAGTTCAGATACAAAACATCAGCCACTACTTAATCAAAGGTTTTAAATAACGGTATTTAGCTATTTCGGTCGATACAGGTTTGATTGTGGCTTGACTGGCCAGTGAATTAGCTACAATTTCTTCTTCATAGTAAAAAACTGTGAATAACGGCATCTTCTTATACCATTTTGTCGCGAACTTTTGCGGGTATTTTATTACTTTCCTCCTACTACATAACCTTATGCATGAACTAAAACATTTACCGAAATAAAATTGATGATCATGATAATGAAAATGATTCAGTCTAGCCTCAAAAACCAGTATCAATAAAAGATGAAACAAATTTATTAACATAAAATTCAACGGTCAACGAAAACAAAATGCAGAGTGATACGAACCTTCCTGAGCGTTGGTGAAGTTAACATAAGCGTAACCAAGAGAAGTTCTCGAGGTCTGATCCCTGCAAACCCTGATCGACAAAACCGGAGCCACTGGGCTAAAGAGTTCAAAAAGCTGTGCCTCGATCACACTCCCTTCGAGATCGCCTACGTAAAGCGATGCATTCGCAAACGGTCCTCCGGTTAATGCCGCCGTCATCGGAGCCACGACAGTCGCAGACTGAGCAATCTGTGAAGAAATCGCAGCCGCCATTCCGTTTTTCCCGCGAAAAATAACCGTAAGTTGACTAGATGATGAAAGTGAGCACTGAGAAAGAGAAAAAGGAGTAGCAAGGGTGAAAATTTGGGAGAAAATCAAATAAGCAAACCCTCTTTTTTTTGAAATTTTTAGGGAATAATATCTTTGTTTTTGTTTTTTTTTCTCCGGTTTTTTTCGTTGCGTTCTCTCCGAGAATAGAGCGTTAGATAGAGGAAGAAATAATGGGCGATGAGTTTCGCTTTTATACATCCAACAACGCGTGCGTGGAATCCAACTCGACATCAAATTCGTGGCGTTTTCGGAAGAAAGACCCGGCACCTTTTGTTTTATATTTTATTTACCAAAAACAACTTGTATTAAAGTACTCCATATAGTCTTCAATTTTCTTGGTGAATAACATTATATAATTTAAACTTTTGGTGAGCATGTTATTTTATTTAGATAAATTTTTTTAAATTAAAAGAGATTTTTTTATCGTCTCATCAAAAATATTTTACATAAAATGTCATTAAATTATATAATGTTATTTTTTATATTAACTAATTTTTAAATAAATTTAAATGATAAATTAATTTTATTTATATAATATTAATATCCAATCGAATTGTGTCAAAAAAATTTATATTTCGAAGTTAAAGTAAATGATCATCTTTTATTTGTGAAATTGAAATTTATTGTTATATTAGTTTATAAATATATTGAAATTTTAAATTATTTATAATATTGTATTTTTTTAAAATATGATTTCATATAACTAATTTAAGACTCAAATATATATTTATTTTGATAAATTGTAATTTATAGTGTCGAAAAGATTAAATTTGTTTTAGATTTAAATAGATTTGATTTAGATTTAAAATAGAATAGATTTAATTTAGTATCAAAATAGATATTTTAGATTTTTATAATTTGGATTTAAGGTGCAAACTAAATTTATAAATAGAGAGAATAATCTTTATTTTTGTAATCAAATCAATTAAGTTGTATTCACAAAATTTACGGTTCTCATAATTCATTATCATTGAGAAAAAATTTATATAAATATTTAGTGGATTTTCAACACATTTATTGAGTTAATCCATAAATTATTAATAAAAGAATTGCTAAGACTGTTTTTGTAATTTCAATATATTTAAATGTTATAGTAAAATCAATAACTATTCGTCCAATAGATAAAGTTTAAGAAGTCTTATTACGGGATCACATTGCAATCACCTAACCTTTGCTAGGAAATAAGCATCCATATCTGTTTTATTTCCTGCTAACATAATAAATAAATAAAATAGTTAAAAGAGCTCTGCTATCAAATGTTTTAAAAAACTAATTAAAACAAAAACTATAAAATTTTGTGTTGAAAATGATAATCTTTAAAAATTGAATACAAGGTACTCTTAAATTCAAAATTTATATTTACAATTTTTAATAATTTTTCAAAGTATATATTTCAATATTTTCTTTTAAAAAATAACATTGAGTAATAATATAAAAAAATCACAGAATTGTATTAAAAAAATTATTTACATATTTTGTTCGGATGGTTGGAGAATTGGGAAATCGGTAGGAAAGTAAGGGTAAATTTCGGTTTTGATTAAACAGCTTTTAATTTATCAAAAAGGACTTATCACAACATAAAACTAAAAACTTGGAAGGAAAATACTATGTAATTGATAGGATATGATTAAGAATTAAGATGGAGCAATATTGAAAAACGTTCCATGGATAGGAAAGTTTGCCAGAATGGTTAGATTTACGTGTCATAAAAATAAGTAAAATATATCATACACTATCAAAATAAATATTTGTAATAAAATACTCTCTCCATTATCTTTTATAAATAAATTTTATTTTTTTAAATTTATTAAATAAATAATGTATTTGAACTATATATAAATTAAAATATATTAATTATTAAATAAATTTAAAAATTAAAATTTACTTATAAAAGAAAATAGAAGAAATACTGTAATAGCATAGATGTGAACTATCAAATTTAAATAACCAATTATCAAATTTAAATAACCAATTTTCTCGACCACATCAAAATTGTATCAATCATCCATTTTTTCCCAAAAGTTCTACAAATTCATGTCGTTTAGAAGCACATCATAACAGATGTTGATACACACACATATAAAATTTTGAGTGAGATTGGTTCATTGTTAGTTTAAATGATCATTACCCAAATAATATCATCTTTGATGAATTTAAAGAAACACTATTAGATTTCATCATTTAATGAAGGAAGTGTATCATTGAAATAAATTGCATACATACCTCTCTTAATTCGATATATTTGTTAAGAAACATGGCATTCATGAAGGGAAAAAAAAAATGCACAAAATTTAAAATATTACAAATGATAAAAATAATTATTACATTGTGACTACTCTAGAACTATTTTTTAGTATAAACAAATTAGTAACCAATTCTAATTAATAACTACTCCCTCTATTTTTTATTATATTTTTTTTTAATTTTATATATATATATATATATATATATATATATATATATATATATATATATATATATATATATATATATATATATATATATATATATATATATATATATATATATATATATATATATATATATATATATATATATATATATATATATATATATATATCGTTTATTTAATAAGAATCTAAAAAAATCAAAATTTATTTATTAAAGAGAATGGAGGGAGTATTCTACTCGTTTATCATGAAATTTAGTAAACTACTGTTAGTCTTTTAAATAATAATGACTCTGGTTACTTATAGGATCAACTAGATTTGATTTTAGGATAATAATGTTTGTTTCTTAGTTATTTTATAAGTTTTTTCTGGATATTATTTTTTCGATTGTAAAGATAAATTTGAACATAAATGGTAAAGAAAATAAAGATAAAGAAAGTAATTGACAAAGGGAAAAAAATAAAGACTTCGACTGAAAAGTGTAAAAAAGTAATATATGACTTTAAAAATGTAAAGATTGCATTCAAAGATAAAAGGTGGTGTTTCAAACGTACATTCTCAGAACTCGTTTCTCGATTAACGTTGATACTTTGAGTGTATAGAGTAATTTATACAACAATTGAACACATAGAAATTTAAACTACAAACTCCTATTTATACTAATTCTAAACGAACATTGTTCTTATCAGAAGATGACACGTTCTTCATTTAAAGGCCTCCACGCGTCTCTTTTCAAAAGGAACAAGTAAGCACCAAAATTCGAATGTTCAGTCTTACTTCAAATTGTTCATCGAATCCTCCTAAAGTATCTTTCGAATATTAGGTTTCAAATTCGTCTTACTTTAGCAAAACTCTGATCGAAAAAGATCATTATATGCCTCTATCAAAACATATTTCAAATACTCTTAATTCTTCTTAAAGAACCTTAATGTTTTTTTCATGAAATCTTGATCGTCGAATTTTCCAGCTAACAAATTACCCCCCAAAAATGTCTTTTTTGATGATAATGAGAAAAGGGCATTGTAATACAGTGGGAGAACTAACTTTACTGGTTTTGCGTTTTATCGCAAATTTTACGGTTAGCAAGAGTCGCCACCTACTTTTCTTTTATGCAATAAAGGAAAGGGTGAAAAGATCAGGAAATACTTTTTTTAAAGATTTTGAGTTCAGGGGTAGGTTATGGAAATGGAAGGTATTAACATTCTTTTCATCTGTAGTTATCTACGGGCTCTTAGTTGCTACCTCACTTTTGAAAATGCTTTGTGTTTGTGCATTTTGAAAATATTTTTGAAAAGACGCCTTAGTGCGGCGAACTTTGTAATGTTTCTCGTATCGTTGAGAACGTATACAAAGTGTTTCTTGTCTTTGAAAATATTTAGAAAAGAGTTTGTGTATGTGTGAAAAAATATTTTATTTGTTTTTGTGAGCAAGCAACTATAAGCGGTCTACCTACTCGAATTGTCTTTATTCTTTTCCTCTTTTCCTTTAGATAGTGTTATCCTACCATTAGTCAGTAGGTATCCTTATCGGATGTTTTGAGGGACAGGCGAGGGTCATCGTACAGTCACGAAAGCAACTCGTAAGATACTTTAGCAATTACTCTAAAGTCTTAAGATCATTTACCGAGTAAAAATTGAAAGGGTCATCGAGGGACTTATGATCTTATAACCAAAGGGTCACTGTTAAAGTATCTCACGTTTGAGAGACGTGACTGTTTATTCTGAAGGCAACGAGTAGAGGTACCTTAGTGGTGCGCGTGTGCGAGTGTGTTGCGTTTTTGTTATGTTTATCTTGAATGTTAGGTTTGCTAACGTTTGTTTTTAGTTTTTCCATACAAGCCTATTAGCATACATCTAGCAATTAATTGTATATAAGTATGAAAAATAAAGTGCAGAAAATTGAATCTACGCTATTACAATGCTTCGGGATGGGGGAATTACAAACCAAAAAATGGGGGAAAGAAAAAGTAAAAAGGTCCTAGTTAAAGTCTATTACATCCCATGTACAATTACATAATTGTGAAAATAATGCGAATAAATAAACGCGCGAGGAAGAAAAGAGGAAGATGTAAAGAAAACCTAGAAAATCTTAAGTGGAGGAAAATGTTTTTGTTGTTTTTAATTTTTGTTTAGAAAAAAATAATTAAATTATGAGAACCTAATTCTAATTAGTTAATTAATTACAAAAAAAGGTGATTAAATGATTGATTAATTTAATTAATAAAAACTTAAATCGGCTATTTTTGTGATTTTCTGATTTTTTTTATGATTTTTAATAAAAAAAGAATTAATTGAAAGAAAAGAATAAAATAGTAAATGAAATAATAAAATAAAAAAAGAAATATAAAAGAGTTGCTGCAAAAAAATGTTAGGGGGGTGAATAATCAGATTTTGCAAGGCCAAACATCTCAGGCCCAGGCGTTTGCAAAAAGAAACGGGGGATGCAGTCCCGAGTTTGGCTAGGCCCAAGACAACTGAGCCCAGGAGCTTCGTTTGATCCAATACATCTGAATTCATGCGTCTATGCTTACAT